TTACAAATGTATTCAAATTTACTACAACATTTTCTAAATGACAAAGTTTATGGTGCAGTAAACTAATGAAGCCATCTCTTGGGGATCCTTAAAAATGTTAATCAGGATAAGGGAGAGTTTTATCCCTTACTATTAATTAAACTTGTAACGTGTAGTTGAAATAATTTCATGTTCATTTAATCAGTCCTACGGTGATGCCTCCACAAAATAGAGATTTTCAGCATTAATGAGCATTAAATAAGCTTCACTTACTTGAGTGAAACTGACTGTCGAAATAGCTGAATAGTATTAAAATAAAAACAGCATATTTCAAATTGTATTATAATTATTATGCTTTTTTCATGGACCATTTTGTGAGAGACTGCATGGAATATTTGACTTACAGTAATTTGTCACATCGCAAGACTATTTAAAATTAACTAGTGATGGCGAATGCATGTAAATATATTTTCCCTTATGCAAATATGTACATTTTACCATTTTAAAATCTTGATGTTCATGCCTGTGTCTGTATGTCAACTGCCCATATACAAACGGTCATGTTTGCTTGTATATAATGTGTGTATGGATGTTGTATGTTTGTGTGTGTGGTAATATGGCATGATGAGTGTTATATAACCAGAGCTGCCTGCACTCGTTCATTCACTCAGACCTCTCTGAACATTCATTTAGTCCTGTACTGCAGTTGCAAATGAATACATTTAGAAGCATTTACAGTGAAAGCACTACACTGAATCGCTCATGGAAATTCATATGAATTTATTTAATTTTTGATCATGTGTCCATTCCTGACAGAGACACATTTCCAGTGGCACATCGCTGTGTTGATATAAACCAATGCAGGAGTAATTCTCAAGCAGTTAAAGGGGTAGTTCACCCCAAAATTGAATCATTTACTCATTTACTCAGCCTCATGCTGTTTCAAATCAATCTTCGAAACACAAGTGAAAATATTTTTAATGAATCCTGAGAGATTTCTATTTATCCAGTAAAAGTCCATTCCAAAAGTTTCCACCAAAAGACATAGTAAAAGTAACACTCCAAAGAGAAAGGAAAACTTGAAATCGCATCATATGACCCCTTTAAAGTCTTTCATTTAGGCTTTTATTCACACGCAATATAAACTGTGAACAGCACACATACATCGAGCGCTTCAAATATGCTAAACAGAAGCTAATTTGTGTTTTCGAAGATTAACCAATATCTAACGGATTTGGAACAACAAAGATGACAAACATTTTTATTTTTGGGTGAACTTTCCCTTTAAGAACATTATTGGGGAGTAAAATAACAACACCATAACTTAAAGGTGAAGTGTGTTATTTTTGTGCCACTTAGCGTGACCCAGTTGAACTTCAACAATAATAATGTTTTTTTAATCGCTTTTATTTTTTTAAAATTATTAATATTACACATTTTTAAATAATAAAGATTTATGTCTTCGTAGGTAGTTTCAAATGTAGAAATTCCCCCGTAAATAGTTTTAATGTGTTCAATGTAATTATGTTAGCTTGTGGCATATAGCATATTCACCCAGTAAGTATGCGTAAATGTGAGTGAAATTTGTAAAAGAGCACATCATCTTTTAAGCATTGTGTGTGTGTGTGTGTGTGTGTGTGTGTGTGTGTGTGGAGATTGCATGAATATTAATTAGGTAATAAAGTAACTTTCATCCAGTACCAATTTCCTGAAAGGCAGGTCAATAGGCACTAGCCATAGTAGAACCTTTTACTAGTTGTGCATTTACAGTTTTCAATGCTTATTCTAAGTTAACAAACTTGATATAAAAAAGTGATATAATATTATGACATTATAATGGTGTAATATTTGCAATGTCCCTGCTGACAGGGAATGTCTCCATGCCACACGTGTGATATCAGGTTAATTAAAAAAGTAGCTTGATTGAAGTTTGAACTGCTTTTAAATATGATGATATGAACTACACTGGTGATACTCTCTCTCTCTCTCTCCATCTCTTTATTTTTCATTGTAAGTAATTCCTGGTAGACAGCTGCACATTTCAGGTTAATTTAGGAGAGTGCCTCAGAGGACATGTGTAGATCCAGAGCAGATTAAAGACATGTCTTCAGTTAGCAGGGATCTGCTTCTCTAACCTCTATAACATAACCCACAACTACTTAGTGGAATTGAAACAGGCACTCAAGGCAGCGCATAAGTAAGCCAGAAGTTTGTTCTCTCATCAAATCATCTTCAAAATCTTTCATCGTTCATCTTTGTCAGGCACTTGCGCAGGATGCTGAAGTATTGGGTCCATACAATTTAAATTCAATTCCGGCTTGGGCTTCTTGAGTGTAGTCTTATATAAGAGCACAGCAAACACTCATGCATTCGCCTGTCTGCTTCTACAAACACTCATTTATTTATGCAGTACAGATACATGCATTCATAACAGCTGAAAGGGAACAGTCACTTATTAATGTTCACTCATTCACACAGCATGGGATGAACAAATGCATTTGCTTAACACAGTCAGCATATTTACTAATTACTCCTTTAACAAGCATGCTCCTCCAAAGCAAAGTTCTGTACACTTAAAACAGGATCAGTCCTTCTGGTGTAAGGTAAGGTTAAGTGTAAAGGACATCGCTTTGTAGGATTTGAACCTTTTGTAGAATTGTTCTGTTGTGTGTTCCTGAAGTGGTAGTTATCAAGAACAATATTGTCTGGGCTTCTTCAGTAATACACAAGGTTCCTTCTGACTTTAGAGGCATTCCTGGCAAGAACTGTGGAACTATTATCGTGAAAGCTGAAGAACTTGGAAATTGCAGGGTACGTCATCTGATTTTGACTTATCTTCTCTCCTAATCTCTCCTTATCTTTTCTTGTCCCTTTTTATCTCATATCTTCTCCTCTCTTCTCTTCTCTCCTCTCCATGTGTAATGTTGTTTTGTCTCTTGTTGTATGATCCATTGTTATAGTCTTGGTTATTGGACCCGCAACCTGTGCGTGCTTGTCACCGTCCGGCCCGCACCCACATCACACCCTACACATAAATATTATTCCACCCGTTACATCAAATATTAGCGATTCACCTGCATGTACCCGCCCGCATGCAGGACTCTGGCTTCCACCTCGTAAACAACATAATAGACAACCCTGGCCCCAGAGAGTGATTGCAAATTTAGTTAACTGTTCACCCTGATTGCGATGCCATCTGCATGTGATGTTAGAGTGTTGTTGAGAGAGAACATGAATGTATTGGAAACACACTACCGCCTACCTGACTGCCTGAGAGGCAAGGAAAAATACACTTACCTGAGATATTTTTTTATGTCTCTGACATATATGATAGTATTCTTGAAAACAATCTTTTAATGTATTATTGAATAAAATATTAGTTAATTATCAAAGAAAGAAAAAATTAATAACCATAATATGGACTTTTGCAAATGCTGTGATACTTTGATGCTTAGATACTGTGATTTCCTTCTCACATTGCTGATTTCACCATTAACTCTTCACCTGAACAGTTTATGTTTTTTGTATATGGTATCATTGTAATCCTTGACCATCGAAACATAGGGGTAGACATCACCTTTCCTGTATTATCATGTTTGATTCAAGAGCTATGCCACAAAATACATAATTTGGTTATGGCGGAAAGTAAAATGGTCGCCATGGCAACCACGAGGTGTTTTTGCGATGCCTCCATTTCTGAAAATGTTTAGAGCCGCAAACTATACAATGTACCAAGTTTCATGCTTTTATGAAAACGTGAACATTATTTTCACATATCACCTGGACTATAGGTAAATAAGTAACATTCCTAAATAAGTAACAGTTCCAGGAGGAACGAAGTAGAACCTTTTGATAGTTGTGCATTTACAATTTTCTGTCTCTATTCAAGTTAACAAACTTAGACATATATAAAAGTTATATAATGTTATAATATTTGCTATCTTAACGTCTTGATGCCACACATGTGATATCAGGTTAATTAAAAGAGTAGCTTGATTGAAGTTTGAACTGCTTTTAAATATGATTAGCTTGTAGCTTTGAGCTACACTGACTCTCTCTCTAATTCCTGGTAGACACCTGAACATTTCAGGTTAATTTAGGAGAGTGCCTCAGAGGACATGTGTAGATCCAGAGCAGATTAAAGACATGTCTTCAGTTAGCAGGGATCTGCTTCTCTAACCTCTATAACATAACCCACAACTACTTAGCGGAATTGAAACAAGCACTCAAGGCAGCGCATAAGTAAGGCTTCTCTCATCTCTCTCATCAAATCATCTTCAAAATCTTTCATCGTTCATCTTTGTCAGGCACTTGCGCAGGTATTGGGTCTATTGGGTCCATACAATTTAAATTCAATTCCGGCTTGGGCTTCTTGAGTGTAGTCTTATATAAGAGCACAGCAAACACTCATGCATTCGCCTGTCTGCTTCTACAAACACTCATTTATTTATGCAGCACAGATACATGCATTCATAACTGTTGAAAGGGGACAATCACTTATTAATGTTCACTCATTCACACAGCACGGGCTGAACATATGCATTTGCTTAACATGGTCAGCATATGTACTAATTACTCTTTTAACAAGCACTTTCCTCCAAAGCAGAGTTCTGTTGTTTAGTTCACTTAAACGGGATCAGTGTCAGCATATTCAGCATATTTACTAATTACTCCTTTAACAAGCATGCTCCTCCAAAGCAAAGTTCTGTACAGGATCAGTCCCTTCTTCAGTAATACACAAGGTTCCTTCTGACTTTAGAGGCATTCCTGGCAAGAACTGTGGAACTATTATCGTGAAAGCTGAAGAACTTGGAAATTGCAGGGTACGTCATCTGATTTTGACTTATCTTCTCTCCTAATCTCTCCTTATCTTTTCTTGTCCCTTTTTATCTCATATCTTCTCCTCTCTTCTCTTCTCTCCTCTCCATGTGTAATGTTGTTTTGTCTCTTGTTGTATGATCCATTGTTTTTTTTCTTTTCTCATTGTCTTGTCTCTTCTTGTCTCATTTATTCTCTTCACGTTTTGTGCTGTCTAATGTCTTCTCTTCCTGTCTCATTTCTTCTCATCTAGGTTTTTTTTTGCCTCATCTTGTTTTCTTGTCTCATTTGTCTTGTCTCATTTATTCTCTTCACGTCTTGTCTCATGACTCCTCTTCCTGTCTCATTTCGTCTAATCTAGTATTTCTTTCTTGTCTTCTTTTGTGGTCTCATTTGTCTCGTCTCATTTATTCTCTCCCCCTCACGTCTCATGTCTTCTCTTGCGGTCTCATTTCTTCTCATCTAGCCTTTTTTGTCTCGTCTTCTTTATTGTCTCATTTGTCTTGTCTTATTTATTCTCTTCATGTCTTGCGCTGTCTCATGTCTTCTTTTACTGCCTCATTTCTTCTCATATCTAGTCTTTTTTGTCTCTTCTTGTCGCATTTATTCTCTTCACATATTGTCTCATGTCTTCTCTTCCTGTTTCATTTCTTCTCATCTAGTTTTTTTGTCTCGTCTTGTTTTCTTGTCTCATTTGTCTTGTCTCATTTATTCTATTTGCGTCTTGTCTCGTGTCTTCTCTTCCTGTCTCATTTCTTCTAATCTAGTATTTCTTTCTTGTCTTCTTTTGTGGTCTCATTTGTCTCGTCTCATTTATTCTCTCCCCTTCACGTTGTGTCTCATATCTTCTCTTCCTGTCTCGTTTCTTCTCATCTAGACTTTTTTGTCTCCTCTTGTTTTCTTGTCTCATTTGTCTTGTCTCATTTATTCTCTTTACATCTTGTCTCATGTCTTCTCTTCCTGTCTCATTCCTTCTAATCTAGTATTTCTTTCTTGTCTTCTTTTCTGGTCTCATTTGTCTCGTCTCATTTATTCTTTCCCCTTCATGTCTTGAATCATGTCTTCTATTCTTGACTCGCTTCTTCTCATCTACCCTTTTTTGTCTCATCTTCTTATTTGTCCTGTCTCTTCTTGTCTCATTTATTCTCTTATCTTCATGTCTTGCACTGTCTCATGTCTTCTTTTCTTGCCTCATTTCTTATAATATCTAGTCTTTTTGTCTCTTCTTGTCTCATTTATTCTCTTCTTGTCTTGTCTCACGTCTTCTCTTCCTGTCTTATTTCTTCTCATCTAGTTTTTTTTTGCCTGTCTCATTTCTTCTCATCTAGGTTTTTTTTTGCCTCGTCTTGTTTTCTTGTCTCATTTGTCTTGTCTCATTTATTCTCTTCACGTCTTGTCTCATGACTCCTCTTCCTGTCTCATTTCGTCTAATCTAGTATTTCTTTCTTGTCTTCTTTTGTGGTCTCATTTGTCTCGTCTCATTTATTCTCTCCCCCTCACGTCTCATGTCTTCTCTTGCGGTCTCATTTCTTCTCATCTAGCCTTTTTTGTCTCGTCTTCTTTATTGTCTCATTTGTCTTGTCTTATTTATTCTCTTCATGTCTTGCGCTGTCTCATGTCTTCTTTTACTGCCTCATTTCTTCTCATATCTAGTCTTTTTTGTCTCTTCTTGTCGCATTTATTCTCTTCACATATTGTCTCATGTCTTCTCTTCCTGTTTCATTTCTTCTCATCTAGTTTTTTTGTCTCGTCTTGTTTTCTTGTCTCATTTGTCTTGTCTCATTTATTCTCTTCACGTCTTGTCTCATGACTCCTCTTCCTGTCTCATTTCGTCTAATCTAGTATTTCTTTCTTGTCTTCTTTTGTGGTCTCATTTGTCTCGTCTCATTTATTCTCTCCCCCTCACGTCTCATGTCTTCTCTTCCTGTTTCATTTCTTCTCATCTAGTTTTTTTGTCTCGTCTTGTTTTCTTGTCTCATTTGTCTTGTCTCATTTATTCTATTTGCGTCTTGTCTCGTGTCTTCTCTTCCTGTCTCATTTCTTCTAATCTAGTATTTCTTTCTTGTCTTCTTTTGTGGTCTCATTTGTCTCGTCTCATTTATTCTCTCCCCTTCACGTTGTGTCTCATATCTTCTCTTCCTGTCTCGTTTCTTCTCATCTAGACTTTTTTGTCTCCTCTTGTTTTCTTGTCTCATTTGTCTTGTCCCTTCTCGTCTCATTTATTCTCTTTACGTCTTGTCTCATTTCTTCTCTTCCTGTCTTGTTTCTTCTCTAGCCTTTTTTGTCTCGTCTTCTTTATTGTCTCATTAGTCTTGTCTCTTCTTGTCTCATTTATTCTCTTATCTTCATGTCTTGCACTGTCTCATGTCTTCTTTTCTTGCCTCATTTCTTATAATATCTAGTCTTTTTGTCTCTTCTTGTCTCATTTATTCTCTTCTTATCTTGTCTCATGTCTTCTCTTCCTGTCTTATTTCTTCTCATCTAGTTTTTTTTTGCCTCGTCTTGTTTTCTTGTCTCATTTGTCTTGTCTCATTTATTCTCTTTACATCTTGTCTCATGTCTTCTCTTCCTGTCTCATTCCTTCTAATCTAGTATTTCTTTCTTGTCTTCTTTTCTGGTCTCATTTGTCTCGTCTCATTTATTCTTTCCCCTTCATGTCTTGAATCATGTCTTCTATTCTTGACTCGCTTCTTCTCATCTACCCTTTTTTGTCTCATCTTCTTATTTGTCCTGTCTCTTCTTGTCTCATTTATTCTCTTATCTTCATGTCTTGCATTGTCTCATGTCTTCTTTTCCTGCCACATTTCTTCTCATATCTAGTCTTTTTTGCCTCTTCTTGTCTCATTTATTTTCTTCACGTTTTGTGTTGTCTCATGTCTTCTCTTCCTGCCTTGTTTCCTCTCATCTAATGTTTTTGTCTTGTCTTCTTTTCTTGTTTTATTTGTCTTGTCTCTTCTTGTCTCATTTATTCTCTTCACATCTACCATTGTCTCATGTCCCCTCATCTTGTCTCATTTCTTCTCAAGTCTATTTTTGTCTGTTTATTCTTGTCTGTTAGTGTCTCTTCTTTTTTCTTTGTCTCATATCTTATTTCATCCAGTCTCTTCCTTTTTCATTTCTTGTCTCTCTTCCTTATTTCTTCTTGTCTAGTTTCTTCTCTTCTTGTCTCATCTCATCTTTTCATGTGTGACATTCTCTCATTGTCTTCTTATCTCTTTTTGTCTCTTCTGTTCTCCTCTTTTCTCTTCATACATTTTTACTGAACATTATCATACAGTCTGCACTTATGTGCTTTTTTTAATCAGGAGTCAGTATTGATGCAGTTTTGTGGCAACAAACTGGACAAGAAAGATTTCTTTGGAAAGTCAGACCCTTTCTTGGTCTTTTACCGTAGCAATGAAGATGGAACGTAAGTTTGTATTTTTCTTCCAATAGAATGAGAGATTATTTTTCTTTTTCTTTATATCAGTACATATATCAGATGTATTTGAATGCTACATTTGATGTTTTAAGTCTAATAATGTGGTCATGTTTGAGATTGAAATTGGATGTCTCATTCAATGTCTTGTCTTCGAATCTGGTCTTGGTATTCTATGACACATTTTGACTTGCAGTAAATGATGCATGTGTGATGTGACCTATTTAAGACCCCATTTCACACTGACTGATTCTCACCTCCCATGTTGTGGTTCCTTCTCTTTGATGTGTCCTGTTTTTCAGATTTACCATCTGTCATAAGACGGAGGTGGTTAAAAACACGCTGGACCCTGTATGGCAGGCCTTCAAGATCCCAGTCAGAGCACTGTGTAACGGGGACTATGACAGGTGGGTCAAATATTAGACCTCTGAGCTTCAAAGACACTGAACAGGATATTGACTTGGTGGGAATGAGGTGTGAATTAGCATATAAAACAAATATAAATATACACAATTATATATATATATATATATATACACACACACACATACACTACTTTTCAAAAGTTTGGAGTCGGTAAGATTTTTTAATTTTTAGCATAATTATTTTTTTAAAGAAACTTATTTAAGCAAAAATAGACTAAAAACAGTAATATTGTGAAATATTATTACAATTTAAAATAACTGTTTTCTATTTTAATATATAGTAAAATGTAATTTATTCTTGTGATATAAAGCTGAATTTTCAGCATCATTACTCAAGTCACATGATCCTTCAGAAATCATTCTAATATGCTGATTTGGTTCTAAAATTCAAAAGAACAGCATTTTTTAAAAATATTTTTGATTACTGATTTCTTACCAATTTCTTAATTTGTTAGTTTAAAATGATCGGCAGTCCGATTGGTGTATGACACCAAAGTACCATGAGAACTATAGATACCATACGCTCTTTATGCTTTCGAATTGCTCTCACGGTACTTTGATGTCATACACCGATCTGTCTGTGCAGTGCCGCTTCAAATCAAAGCCAAAACCTGGATATTTTAGGCAATATAGAAATCCTGGCCAGGACGTGTCCAGGAAAAAGAGGGCATATGGTCACCCTATTTATGTGTCAACCCTGTTACAATCCTCTTATTAAAATAATAAACTAAAAAATTAAAATAATAAACATTAAATGTAAAACATTCATTTCAGATGAATTCAGCATCTTTTTAATTACTTTACCTTATTGTTTTTATGCTTGCCAGTTGGCAATGATCTTAAAATGTCAACCCTGTTACAAAGATTTTGTTTAGTAAACAATTCATAATAGCAAAATAGATGTTCTGTTAATAATAAACAACTAGTGTTGTGACCTTGACCACAAGCTTAAAATGTCTAATTTAATTGTAAAATTGTCAAGCCTGTTTCCAATCTGAAAGCACACACACACACACACACACAAAATATATTAATTCAGCTTGAGATGGTATAATTTATCAAAACTTGAAGACATTATTTGTCTGATAGAATGTTTAAAATCTTTAAAGAAATGTACTTAATCTTAAATAAAAAAATTACTTGACATAAAATAGAGTGACCTATATAATACATGCTTTTAATGACTGAGCTTTCTTTTCTTTTTTTGAAGAGCAATAAAAATCGAGGTGTATGACTGGGACAGAGATGGAGGGTAAGAAAGAAACAATCATTTTGTTATACTGAAGATAAGATGCATCAAGATAAGGCATGAGACTGTGTGTGTGTGTGTGTGTTTTCAGTCATGACTACATCGGCGAGTTCAGCACCAGCTACAGGGAGCTCTCTAAAGGCCACTCTCAGTTTACTGTGTGGGAGGTGAGCCACTCTCATTTTCCTCATGTATTTTTCCCACACGTCTGCCTAAAATATCATAAATGTCTTTTAGAAATATCCTAGCTTTAATGCAGACATTTACATTAGTAAATGTAGTTGAGGCCTAAGGAACAGTGCTGGGAAGTAACTAAAAGTATTGAAGGTACTTATGATTTTATATGTAGCACTGGAAAATCTTTTGGTCAATTAGTTTTCATAATTAAAACCTGTAGTTTTAAACTAAATGTTTAAATGTTTTAGTTAGCTACATGAACATTTACATATCTCATTTAATATGATATTAAATGTACTCATATACATATAACTCTTTTGGGAACTGTGTCTGCATTTATGTTCTTGTGTAAATTATGTTTCTGGCCTTACTGTGACATTTTGTAGCCCATCCCTGTGAAATCTCATCTTTTGTATGACTTCCACATCACTGAAGCATAAATCAAACCCATAAGAGACAAGAACACTTAAAACCGGCCACGGCACAAGAACCTTAGATAACAGCGGGAGGTCTAGCCCATGTAGTCAAACGTTCATCTCCACCAAGAGCTTCTGACAATCTAGTTTTTTGACACAATCAGAAAAAAAAAAAAAAAATATATATATATATATATATATATACAGATCACCATTTGAGATTCAACCACAGAGATTCAGCAACATTCTGTGTCTGACATTGCTGTATTTCTGCAGGTGCTGAACCCCAAGAAAAAGAAAAAAAAGAAGAAATATCTAAACTCAGGAACCGTGAGTGAATTTTTAACTAGATCCTCCAGTTTTATTAATGGAAAAAAAAGAAGAACAAAAGAAAGCAATACATGTTTTTTCTAACAAACAAACATCCTTATTGGTAAGACTTCTTATAGAAGGTCCTACATTATATCTTCATAAGTAATGCACAATGCCTTCATAAGCTGTGCATATAAATATTCATAAATGTTGATGTAGCTCATCATTGGTCTGCCCTGATGCCGTGATTCTAGAGAGTTACATCATCACCCTGAGCATGAATATTGATATGACATTTATGATTAAAGTATGCATTGCTTATTGAAAGTGTAATGATGCCCTTTAGGACTCTACATAGGAAGTGTTACCAAACTTTCATGTTGACAGGTCACTCTGCTGTCCTGCTTCATTGATGTCGAGGTTACGTTCCTGGACTACATCAAAGGAGGGTCAGTATTTGTGTGTGTGTGCACTTGTACAATCCTTCTGAACAATGTTATTGAATCTTCTTATTACATAATTACATACCATAATTTTATACCAGATGAAACATATAAATATTGCAATACCTATAACTGACAGTGAAGATGTATATTTATTTCTAATTAAAATCTATATTTTACTGGTAAATACATATTTTTCAGTTAAATTTGGTTAAAATTAATTTTTTTGTCTTAGTAAAAAGTCACTAAACATTTTTTTACATAAATGTTTTTTCTTTTTTGTGTATATATAACAGTATGCAACGATGCCTCTATTACTAACGTAACCCTCGTTCCCTGACGGAGGAAACAAAGACATTCTGTCAAAGTTCTGACACTAGGGGTTGCTCTTGGGAGGATTTGCACACCTGGCCGTGCTCAGACATCTGGGTATATAAGGGGTCCGCGTGCTGTTATGAATGTTATTCTTCTAATGATGGCGAACAGTGGTCCAGTGTTCACTCAAGGGAAACTAAAAATTGGATCCATTATTAGGGTCTAACATACATGTTGTTGGTTTAGATGATTTAACAAGTTTATACAAGCAGCACACATTATCACCTCAGAATGAAAAGGCACTGAATGCAAGCTCTACACCCTACCAGTCATCTAGATTCATCTGTTGGTACTCAGAAGTTTAGATTAAACTGGTTCCATGCGCAGTTTATAAAATCTGGTGAAGGTATTGGGTGTAGCCCAGCCCACAGTTCTACATATGTCTGCTAATGAGGCACTTTTCACTAAGGCCGAAGAGGCAGCGACACCCCTGGTTAAGTGCGCCCTCACTCCCAAAACCTCAGGCTTGATATGCCAGGATAATTGCTTCCACAATCCAATGGGATATTCTCTGCTTGGAAACAGCTTTCCCTTTCTGCTGTCCCCCAAAGCAGACAAAGAGCTGTTCAGATTACCTGAAACTCTGTGTGTGGTCGAGATTTATGCGTAAAGCCCGCACTGGGCACAACAAAGACAAGGCTGGGTCTCCCTCATCAGGAGGCAGTGCTTGCAGGGTTAACGTTTGATCCCTGAACAGGGTAGTGGGAACGTAGCCGGGCCTGGGTCTCAGGACTATGTGAGAATCTGCCGGCCTGAACTCCAGGCACATTTCATTAACGGAGAGGGCTGGAAGATTCCCCACCCTCTTGACAGAGGTGAGCGCAGTCAGGAGGGCCATGTTCATAGAGAGGGCACTAAGCTTGACTCAAATGGATCTCCCTGCAGAACCTGTAAGACGACCAGGAGATCCCAAGAAGGGGTGAGATGCAGTCTTGGAGGATTTAATCTCCTTGCACTTTTGAGGAATCTAATAATGAGATTGTGCTTTCCTTGAATTAATGGTCAAAACCTCTTTAAGGCTAGAAACACAATGAACAACTCTAGACAACTGATGTGCCAATGCAGTCTGGGTCCTGTCCAGGACATGCCCTTTGCATACAGTGCCCCAGCCTATCTTGGAAGCATCTGTTGTTGCTATGATGCATCTGGACACTTGTTCTAGGGGAACACCTGCCCACAGAAATGAAGGGTCCGTCCAAGGGCTGAATGTATAACAGCACACATGAGTGATGGAAATGCAATATGTGTCGCAGCGCCATGCCCATCGGTCATGAAGCCGTTGCTGAAGCAGTCTCATATACATCAACCCAACCGACGTTACAGTGACCGAGGATGCCAGATGCCTCAGGAGCCTTTGGAAATATTTGAGAGGAACCACTGTCTTGTACTTGAATTTATTCAAGCAGTTCAGCACTGACTGAGCATGGTCTTGCGAGAGACGTGCCATCATGGTGACTGAGTCCAACTCCACACCGAGAAAAGAGATGATCTGCATAGGGGAGAGCTTACTCTTCTCCCAGTTGACCTTCTCCCAATCAGTCTAGGTCAGGGCTGCCCAAACTCGGTCCTGGAGGGCCGGTGTCCTGAAGAGTTTAGCTCCAACCCCAATTAAACACACCTGAACCAGCTAATCAAGCTCTTACTAGGCATACTGGAAACTTAAAGGCAGGTGTGTTGAGGCAAGTTGGAGCTAAACTCTGCAGGACACCGGCCCTCCAGGACCGAGTTTGGGCAGCCCTGGTCTAGGTGCTCCAAGACCATGCCCCTGTGTGCACACAGCAACTCTCATAAGTGAGCTAATATCAGCCAGTCATCGAGGATGCGTCCCTTGTTATGCATGGTGAAGTGTGCATTGCACTTACCATGTTCCTTTGGTCTTCTGAGAAGGAGGCAAGTGACGGTCGAGGAAACTGAAGTTCATTGTGGGATCCCAAGAAGGGGTGAGATGCAGTCTTGGAGGATTTAATCTCCTTGCACTTTTGAGGAATCTAATAATGAGATTGTGCTTTCCTTGAATTAATGGTCAAAACCTCTTTAAGGCTAGAAACACAATGAACAACTCTAGACAACTGATGTGCCAATGCAGTCTGGGTCCTGTCCAGGACATGCCCTTTGCATACAGTGCCCCAGCCTATCTTGGAAGCATCTGTTGTTGCTATGATGCATCTGGACACTTGTTCTAGGGGAACACCTGCCCACAGAAATGAAGGGTCCGTCCAAGGGCTGAATGTATAACAGCACACATGAGTGATGGAAATGCAATATGTGTCGCAGCGCCATGCCCATCGGTCATGAAGCCGTTGCTGAAGCAGTCTCATATACATCAACCCAACCGACGTTACAGTGACCGAGGATGCCAGATGCCTCAGGAGCCTTTGGAAATATTTGAGAGGAACCACTGTCTTGTACTTGAATTTATTCAAGCAGTTCAGCACTGACTGAGCATGGTCTTGCGAGAGACGTGCCATCATGGTGACTGAGTCCAACTCCACACCGAGAAAAGAGATGAGCTGCATAGGGGAGAGCTTACTCTTCTCCCAGTTGACCTTCTCCCAATCAGTCTAGGTCAGGGCTGCCCAAACTCGGTCCTGGAGGGCCGGTGTCCTGAAGAGTTTAGCTCCAACCCCAATTAAACACACCTGAACCAGCTAATCAAGCTCTTACTAGGCATACTGGAAACTTAAAGGCAGGTGTGTTGAGGCAAGTTGGAGCTAAACTCTGCAGGACACCGGCCCTCCAGGACCGAGTTTGGGCAGCCCTGGTCTAGGTGCTCCAAGACCATGCCCCTGTGTGCACACAGCAACTCTCATAAGTGAGCTAATATCAGCCAGTCATCGAGGATGCGTCCCTTGTTATGCATGGTGAAGTGTGCATTGCACTTACCATGTTCCTTTGGTCTTCTGAGAAGGAGGCAAGTGACGGTCGAGGAAACTGAAGTTCATTGTGGCTCGTCACGTCTGCCTGCCCTTGTCAGCATACCTGGCGCATCAGAACATGAGGAGGCAGTCACGTTGTCTAAGCAGGTTCCTGTGCCAAGAGTCAACGTCTGGCCATCATGTAGACGTGGGCCAAAAATGCCTTGTGTATGTGTGTGTATGTGACCCAGGGAAAGATGAATTTGCTGTTTTGCTGACCATTTGGTGGCTTTCTGCCAAGTGGCGTCTGGCCGTTGGAAGCTGTTCTCCCTCCGTACCTCCACCAGGAGTGAGGCTTGACCCCAAGCCTGGGGCAAGCAGGTCAGTGGGCTCTCCTCCTTCCCTGGGTTTCCCATCTTAGGACTGCTTCAAAGACTTTCATGGGTCCTTAGTAGCCTGTGGATGAGCTGGCAGTTCCTCCTTCCCTCGAGAAGGCTGTTGTGCACCAGGGTTGTGGCATGGCCTGTGAGCCACGCTCAGACACCAAGAACCAATCATCAAGCCTCAAGCACTCAGGACAGGGTTGAGTGGAGGGATGGGAGGTCCGTGGGGATTCACCTGCCGGAAAATCTCCCCTTGCATCTCCAGGTTTACACTCAGAGCACATTGTCTAGGCCTTGTACCTAAAACTAGAAGGACTAGGACAGGAAATATCTGAGGTGACCCTCAGTCTTTTGAAAAAAGAATGAGAGCCATGAGCGCAGCGTGGCCATGGTCATGTTCTCACAAGCAGAACAAGAACCATCCGCAAAAGCTGTTGCAGTATAAGTCTGTAACACAGTTCGTAGATTGGGAAGAAGGAGGCGGGAACCGGCGAACGTTCAAACATAATTTTCATAATAAAATAAACACAAAACTTAAAATAGCGCGACAGCCCCTCATGGACGACTGCCGCGCACAAACAAAACCAAAACAACATAAATCCAGGCCTGGTCCTCTCTCGTCTTGCACTGTCGTCACTCCTCCTTTTATTCTTCCGGAGCTCGTCCGTGGGACTCGAGACCGGTGAGTGGCGCAGGTGTCGTGCATTATCACTTACTCCACCGGCCTCTCTCCGTTCCCACGGCTCTCGGCCCCGCCCCACTCGTCACAGAGTCCAACCCAAACACTGAGGACAGCGATTGTGGCCATCCGAGGGAGACATTAAACAGACCCAGTAGGACACGAATGGAATGCAATTGCAATACACACAATCCTCCATGTCTGTTCATTTAGAGAAATTTGCCCTTACAGAGAAAATTAGCTCTCAGAGATTGCTGTCGAAACACAGCAATCTCTACACTTATCTGTATTTCAGAGTCTGCTGATTATGTCATAGAATCCATCGGCGAGAGGTGAAAGGAGACTGCTGCTGTCAAAAGACACTGCATCAGCTCCAAAGAACAAAGCTGATTGAAGCATGCAGGCCCCTTATATGCCCGGATGTCCGGGGCTTGGCCATGCATGCAAATTTCATTGGCCTTTTCTGAATATGTCAAAGGTGTTTGGGCTCCCAAGAGCGACCCCTAGTTTCAGAACTTTGACACAACGTTGAAAGTGACCAACCGAAAGGAAACTAGACATGAACTACATTCTGTGAAGAATATGCGAGTGGTGCTTGCTGTGGCAAAACTCGGCACTATGCGGTTTTCTTGGCGGTTTCTAGGCACTTTCTAAGGTGTTGCTAGGATGTTTTCTGTCGTTGCTAAGCATTTACACAGGAAGGTTCTCCTAATGCCACCTATACTTCCCGCTCGATGCCTCAGCAAGAAGGGATATCCTGGTGATCGGGAAAACCCCTCAGGGCGACCCAGATACGGTAGACCAGTAGTCCCCCCGGTAGTGACGTCATGGCTGTCGCCGGCCAACGAGTTGGTGTTTTTTCAATGTATGCTTCAGACACGGGTCACGACGAGGCGTTCCCCATAGCGACCCCTAGAGGACGCAGTTCGAAGTTCCCATGAAAGGCAAATATAGTTATCATGCTGGAAATAGATGCATCATTTTGGAAATGGATTTCAGTTTCTCACATATTTTGGCAAGTGTGACGCCATCCAGGTTTTCCATGCACATGAACATGAACATACTTGAGCTCATCTATTGAGACTGGAAACACATTGCTATGCCTCACCATCCATGAATAATTCCATCTTCCTTCCCTCTCCTCCTCTCCACGTCACAAACACATATTCACAGACAGCGCACTGCATTATGATGCCGTAATAAACCGAGCTATAAATAGAGCACTCTATTCTGAGAGACACAGAGACCCCAGGCACATGATCTGGCCTTCAAACAGTCCAGCAAACACTGGAAATATCCGAGGAATAATTGGAAGGATCTGCAAAAAGACTACTGTGGAACATTCTTACAGACAGTTAGCTAATCTCTCTCTCTCTCTCTCTATATATATATATGCATTCTGTTGAACAGACAGAAAAACCAGGAAGCTGCGGAGAGAATATTAGATAAGAGCACAGAGCTGCTCTGAGGGAATAATTTCTTCATTTCTGCCCACAGGTTAAATTGAGCTGAGACACAGTTTCACACAGTCAGCTCACTGGGGATTTGACTGAGGAGCTTTATTGCACTTTAATAAACATAATATATGTTATGTTCACAAGCTGATTCACATGTGCTCACATCATTGTTTTTGCTCTGTTCACTTGCAGGACTCAAATTAATTTCACAGTGGCCATTGATTTTACTGCGTCAAACGGTGAGCTTACATTACTGAAACACTGCTCTTCAAATGAAAAAGCATCATTTACATATAATGTGAACATCTACTAATAGTTATTTATTGTAACTAACCGAGGTGTAAAAAGTACTGAGAAAGTACAGATAAAATTTTGTACTCAATTAAAAGTACCTACCCTTAAATCATAAAATTATATATTATATTATATTTTTTATTATTATATATTTACATTATTTACAGTAATTAATAAAAATCATTGATTGTTTACCCATATCAGAGTTGAACTATTCAGCTGAAAAGAGCTAATTTAAGGGTGTAACCATGTGGTCAAAATACTCTTTTAAAGATAATGCATAGATAGATCATTATTTTTTAAAGAGGGAAATTGCACAGCATAACAGGGTTGAGGGGTGAACAAAAGCATCAATTTATCAAATAACGTGTTTAGTTCTTCATGGGTACACAATACACAAATGGAACCATTTAATTAGAATGACCCAGAATTCTAAATTATTACCTATACAGCATGAAATTTTAACCATTCATATTTAAATGCTTTGTTGATTAATGCATTTTCTGCTTTATTTATGGCAGGCAACCCTTCTCAGCCTACCTCTCTACACTACATGAGCCCGTATCATCTGAATGCGTATGCACTGGCCCTCAGAGCCGTGGGAGAGATTATTCAGGACTATGATAGTGATAAGCTGTTCCCTGCACTGGGGTTTGGTGCAAAACTGCCACCCGATGGCCGCATATCTCATGAATTCCCGCTGGTGAGGACACTTCTTTTTGATTATACTGTTTAAACTAAAAGTAATTGCTTGTATTCTATATTCAAACAATTAGTTCTCAAACAGCATCTTATGTGTTTTATTTGTCAGTGAGAGTGTTGCATGGACAATCTTACACTGATTATGCCTAAGTCATTTACATTTACATTTAATCATTTAGCAGACACTTTTATCCAAAGCGACTTATAAATGAGGAGAACAATAGAAGCAATCAGACCAACAAGAGAGCAACAGTATACAAGTGCTGTGACAAGTCTCAGTTAGTCTAGCACAGTACACATAGCAAGGTGTTTTAATTATTTATTTATTTTAGAGCGAATAGAATAGGTTAGAGTTAGTGTTAGGGTGAGAGTGCTAATATTAAGTCTAATATTAATTGGTCAGGTGCTGCCAAAAAAAAAAAAGAAAAGTGTTTTTATACGTTTTTTTAAAAAAATGGCTAAAGTCTCAACTGCTCGAATTGAGATTGCAGGTCGTTTCACCAGCTGGGAACAGTCCAGGAAAACATCCGTGAGATTGATTTTGTGCCTCTTTGGGATGGCACCACGAGGCGTCGTTCACTTGCAGAACGCAAGCTTCTGGAGGAAGCATAATTCTGAGCTAGCAAGTTTAGGTAGTTGTCTTGTAAGCAAGCATCAGTACCTTGAATTTAAGGATGGAATACACTACATGACTTTTGCCCAGATTTTTGCCCTGTCAACATATCAAGTAATGTATATGATGTGCACAAACTTATTTATTTATTTTAACTTCAGACTATGATTCCTTCAAGATTTTAAGTCATATAGTGTATTTCAGCCTTTACATGCAATCTGCTAGCAATCTCATCATACTACATTGGACAAACTGTTACAAGCTCTGCTGTATCTCCATCTACACCCAGTAAGCTTTCTTGGTCAAAATTCATATAGTCTGGTTCAGTTTTCCTGCAGCTCCCTTTTAGAGTTCCTCTGAAATCCTCCACCTCCCCCAGCACCACATGTCTAGGATATTATTTATGCCTTTTTGTGCTGCTGCTGCAGCAGCATGCATAGAATATCTAGTCCACCAAGACAAAATACATTAACATTGTCTAAACTACCTGAGAGGTGTCATGAATGAAATAACCTAAATGGTATTCTTATATTGGGGTAAGGAAAACCCAATCGAAATTATCCATTACTCCAGCGATGCTTTTCATGTAAATCAGTGTTTCATCAACTTATTTAGTGTATTTACCACTTTTGTAAACAGAGTAAGTAAACTCTGGATTTTTGCACGGCATCATTTTATAAATATATTGCATTGAGGTGTCTCATTTACCTAATAAACCCAATTGAATCAAGTGTTTTGTCTAATGCAGAGATTCATTATAGATTCATATACAGTCCTGGTGCCCCGGGGAGATATATTGAGAAACAGTGGACTATGGTTTGCACCTTTGATATGCTGACATCCTAGTATACTAGTCTCTGCCAAACCCCAACCATAGACTGAACACATATGCCTGGGCTACCTGATATGGCTGTACTCCTCCATCTCTAGCTCTTTCAGATCCACTTCTGAACCTGACCTCCAGCAGGACCCTGAAAGCCTACACTTATAGGCTGAGTGCAGTCTGTTTTTCCCCTGTGTTGATGCATTTCATATTGGCTAGAATATATCAAGTGTGCTTTCCTTTTATTCAAAAGGCAGTTTGCCCTGGCTGTTTAGTTATTGTACCTTTGACAAGCCCAATAAACATACTTTAAATTCCAGCCTCTTCCTTTGTAATTAAGGAAGGAGATTGTACATTTTAAATGTGTACATCTATTAAGAATTCATATTATTAACTTTTAGAAGTACTTTAGCATATAAATGACCTAAAAGCCAACAAACATGGACTAAACGCCAAAAAGCTCCAGTTTTGATTTCACACAATTACACCACTGGTAACCAAATAAGGGCTCTGCGGGGTGACTAACTGACAAATATGGATGAAACCGTTCATAAAGGAAATTGAAAAAGATTGATAGACATTAACAAATGGAGATTACCCACAGCTGTCTCGCATTTCTAAAGAGCACGGAATTTATTTTCTTTATTTTTTTTTTCTCTGTTTTTTTCCTCTTCCACACCCACGAAACGGTCACAGAGAATCTATCACATAATCCCATATACAGTGAGACACAGATCCTTATTGGACCAAACAGATGCACTGCCTGCGGCTGCAGCTGCCCACACACAGCTAAAACACACACACACACACACTTCTCCTCAGGGCTGAACGCGGGAGACTCCATATGCACTCAGCAGAGCATTAAAGCTTTACTTGAGTGAATAGCTCTCGTTAAACGCGCCTCTTACTACAGAAAGCTTCTGGGATGTGAGCTCAGACGGCTGAACTTTTGATGGCTGATTCGTGTTGTTGTTGTTTTGCTTTGACAGTGATTGCTCACTGTAAACATTTCCGAATATACTATCTATAATATCTACTATCAGTATAGACTACTACTATTTAGTAGTAATATAGATTACTGCTTACTATATTACTAAAATCCTGTTGGATATTATTAAAGAGTATTTTAACATAAAATATATGTTCTACATTTGTGCAAACACAAACTTTTAAAAAGAGAACCTTTCACAGAATTAATATACTTTAAAAGAAACTCCAAACTGAATTAAATGTTTTCGGACACTTAATTGCATGTTAATTGCATTTAAATTAAAATGTATTATAGTTTAGATTTATGTTAAGTGCAATTAGCTGAAGAGTGGTTTTTTGACCCAGTTAAGTACATCTTTATGTGTAATTGCATAATTATTTCCATTGTCTTTGAATTATGGTTACAATTTACTGGAGAATATGCTGACAAGCTTTTATGGTGAGCTCAAGTATACTTTAATGTCATGTATTTAAATATATTTGTAATTGCAAATTTTTAATGATGAATTTGCAATGTAGTACATTTACAATATTTGAACTTTAAATGTAATATCGAATAATACTAGAGCTCAAATGATATTACTTTACATGTGCTTTAGTGTGTTAGTCAGCATATCAAAATAAATGTATTTTACAGTAAAACTTTTAATTTGATATTATTACACAGTGTACATTTTTAAAAAAGTGTATTTAGTTTAAGAGACAGACATGAAAGTGTACTCTCTACACTTAAGTGGCCTTCTTTCATTAATGTGATATTATCTGCAAGTACAGTTTTTAAGATTATATCTAAAAAAAATATAAAGTATATAACATATAATTTTACAATTTGACGTACACTGCAAGTGCACATTCAGTACAATTAAGCACACTTTTCCACAATAGTACGTAGCCTAAACACCCATTTACAGTATGTATGCGTCTTACTCTGTGATGCTTGTATTGTGAACGTGTGTATTACATGTACATATGTTCATTTAGATATGTACTTACAGAACGGGAACCCAGAAAACCCATACTGCAGCGGGATAGAGGGCGTTCTAGAGGCATATTATCAGAGTCTGAAGTCTGTTCGTCTCTATGGACCAACATACTTCTCACCTGTCATTAATCATGTAGCAAGGTGAGGCCAATTATATTTAAACATATATACTATTTATCACACTAGTTATTATGGCCATGCACTAAAAATATCCTATTAAATTTACAGTTACAAAAAAAGTTTCAAGTTTTGTTTTACAGTAAAATTACATACAATAAAATGTTAACCCATTCATTTTTTTCATATTTTGTTATGTTAAGTACTAGTCAAGTCGAGTCACCTTTATTTATATAGCGCTTTCTACAATACAGATTGTGTACTACAATGTTATGTTTGCATCCTGGTACTTCGTTAGAGAACTGATTGTAGGCAATAGCCCAAAAAAGCATGCGTTGGGGCATGTACTTTTCTTTGTGACACTAGGATGGATTCGATTTGATTTGGGATTCAGCCCCTGTGTCCATAACAAGCACATGAACTGATCAGCTTATTTCTTTGCAGATATGCGTCATTAGTAAAGGATGGCTCCGAATACTTCATCCTCCTCATCATCTCTGATGGGGTCATCTCTGACATGGCTCAGACGAAAGAATCCATCGTAAATGTAAGTAAAAAAAACTCAGTCCCCTGCAACCTTTACACCATTTGGAAAAACAGAAAAGATAAGTGTCCCTTATATACATATTTATAAAATGTGACAATGAATAGCTGACACCTAGTTTTACTATGTGGTAGGCCTATTACTTTATGTTTATAAACAGCAAGATTTTGACATCATGTCAACATTGTGTTCCCAAGTTATCAACCCTGTTACCATCATAATTTCCCCCCTGTTAAGGTGGTGAACTTTTCCATAATTTTTTTTTTTTTTTTTTTAAAGACATAATTCCACAACTCTTTGTCTGAATAATGTTGTGCTTGTCAGTAAGGTATGATTTTAAAATGTCAGCCCTGTTACTATGATTTTGCAGTAGGCAATTGGTTTACAGTTTAGTTTTACATTACAAGTCTTCTCCTCAAAGCAGTGAAACTACATTCTTCTTGCCTAAACAATTACCAGTCGTCTACTACAAAATCATGGTAATGATGCTGACATTTTAGAATCATATCTGTATATCTACCTGACAGAATGTTTAAAAATGTACAAAAATGTCCTTAAAAATCACTTTATCAAACTGGAAAAAGCACAAGATGAACCTTAATTTCCTAAAGTCCAAGTTGGTTTGCTTTGTAAACAATAGCCATTAATCATTCTAGTCACTAGAAGACGTGATTATTGGATGAAAAATTAGACTATCACTGTGCTGAATAAAAGAGAAGAATTTACACCCACTCATAAAGTTTGTTGATTCTTCATTGTGGATACTATTACAATATGAAGAATACAGAATTAGAAAAAGAAAAAAAAGTCTTAAACTGAATCCATTTGTCTTTCCTTTAAAACACGCCAACTGAGACGCTGAAATGTGATATATTGTGCAGGCTGTGATGGGCAGAGTCTCTTTGAATCATGACAGGAGTCGTTCATAATGTGTTAGTGTGCAGATAGCTGAGCCGTTTACACTCAAGCACGACAAGTTACCTGAACTTAATGAATGGGCCTCAGATTTCAGATTTCAGAATTGCATACCAATGGCAGCCACCTTGTGGTGCTTTCCTTAAATATTGTGTGAAGTAAGGTTCAAACTTTAAATAAACATAAAAGTTGACTAACATTTTTGCATACTCCAGAATGCGTAACAGGGTTGCAAGTAAAATTTACATACAGTATTTGTATATTTAGCCAAAATTAAGTCATCATTCAGAAGGAGATCAAATCTTTGTAGCTTTTGATGAATATAAAATATTATTGGAAGAAAATATTTTCAAGAGTATTATTTATTTATTTATTTATTTTAAATAACTCAGTAACAGGGTTGAATGATTTAGCATTCAACACTATAATTTCTCCAAACAATGATGTCACTTTCTTGAATGGAATGCACTTTTTTATAGGGAGAAATCATGCGGTAACAGAGTTGAACATAAAATCCGGGACACAGCTAAATACTGCATTTTTGCCCATTATTTATTTATTATTTATTTCAAATCATCATTTTACAGGGATCACAGACATTTAATTGTTTAAAATTAGCCATTGCTTAAAAAAGTAAATGAAAATCAGTTTGCACTCCTATCCTAACAAACCATACATCAATGGAAAGCTTATTTATTCAGAGAAATTGACCCTTATGACTGGTTTTGTGGTCCAGGGTCACATTTCAGAAAAGTGCCTCATGTGTCTCCAAGACAGATCGGAACGCAAGATGTTGTATTGCATTACTGCGATCAGAAGTCTGTTTTGTACATGTTAAATTATACAAATACTGAATTATATGAGGAGGGTATTCTTGGGGGTCTTGTTTTAACGAACTGTTCCCTTCTGTTGAAGGCCTCTAGTCTTCCCATGTCGATTATCATCGTTGGAGTCGGGCCAGCCGAGTTTGACGGTAAGATGAGAGAGATGTGTATGTCTTTGATGATGTGAGAAGATGTGATATGATATCAATCCAGTCCAGCAGAGCAGATCAGATCAAAAGAGAAACTTCACTTATGTTCCAGTGAGACCAATCAGTCTCCCAGAACGTCATTAGTGGCGTATGTGCTATAAGAGCTTTCAAATTTCAATTGGCTTATCAGTTCATTTCTTAAATAACCCTGCACCTCTCCTTTCATCATTAAAGTGTAATCTAGTTACTTAGTTTCAACTGTCATCACTGCCTCATCTGCTGTAGATTTCACATTTTGTTTGTTGGTATCCTATTTGTTTGAACTGAATGAGAATGATTTACGCTCACTGATAGTGTTGATATTATTTATGGAAGATTATTTATTCACAAGATGACATAATTGGAAAGTAAACCAAAATTTGATTTATTTAGCAAATTGCTTTATGACTGTACATGATTGTATGACTTATTTGCGTCGAAGCATTTTTGTGCTTAAAATATCGACAATGACTTATTTTTACATAGGAACAAATTTAAACACGTAAATTTGTTTAGTGATTTTTTTATTTAAAAAATTTTTTTTTTTAAGTTTGTTTAGTAAATATTTTTGTGTTGAAAGACTTCATGCTAATGTGAATTTTCCTTTAATTCATTGCCATTGTTTTAGTTTTAAAGACCCATATTCAAAATACTCACTTTTTTAACACTCATTTTGGTTTATTTTACATAAAACCATCTATAATGTTAGTTAAGGGTTCCAAACAAGGTTTCCACCCTCTTTTCCAGCAGGTTTGAGACTCTTACTGTGACTTTTTTTTAAATATATATATAAATTTGCTACTGTACCTTTAAGATTTTTCTGTAAATGACATTATGAACCTGGTGTACTGAATATAGAATATGTGTTGATATGTGAACATGGCCGGCCGTGACATCAGGATTTCTGAAGACAGTTTTGCTGTTTAGTTTTCATAAATGTTCTAGATATACTGAGGTGGATGTTTTGCATTCTGAAAGTTAAGGCACCTACACACACTGAATTCAGTGAATTGGACAGCAGTTACATACAACAGTTTCTCTACATTTGGTCATATGACAGGGTGTTACTCTTGCAAACTCTTGCATTTCTCCTCTATGTTCTAGTGACATACCTTCCCAATTGAAATCAGTGGATTTTTTGGTCTTCTCAAATGTAGATAAACTGTATCGAGTAACAGCTCTTAGGTTATGTCTGCATAGTACTTCATACTGTTTCATTTGAGAAGACCAAGAAAAATCCAGTCTTCCTTTAAATTGTGTTTTTATATTACACGTTTTTAAAAGGAAAGCTTGGTCTCTTCTGGGCTTGCAGTTTGTATAAAGGTTGATACTTTTTTGTCCTTTAATGAAGATAAAACCTCATTTACATGCAGCTCCCTGTGTTCTCGTTATCTCACAGCAGTCATGATTTGCTCTTTTAACTCATTTCATAGCTGCTACATTAAAGGGTGTATCTGAACTCATATGAAATCCAGTGATAGCACACTTGACTATAACAGTCTGAGCCGAATGGAAGCACCACATGATGGTTTTTCCTGTGCCATTTTCTTCCATTTGACAGAGATGATTGAACTAGATGGAGATGAGGTCAGGATATCATCCAGGGGTCGCTTTGCGGAGAGAGACATCGTGCAGGTGAGCTTTCCAGCCCTGTATATCGTATATCTGTGGACAGAAATAGTAAAGCAATATTCTAGGCGATTTTCAACCTAATGTCTACAGCGTCTGTAGCATTGATGATCACAGACTCATCTCTCAGTGTGTGTGTGGTAATAAAAAGCAAACGGGAAAAATGTTTACAGTAAATACATGGAGCCCGAGCAGGCAAGTGTGCAGAACTGAAAATAAATGTTTAGCTTATGATCATCATATTTTTGAAGGTATAACCATCAACCTTATAGCTATAGTTCACATAAAAATGAACATATGCTGAAAATGTACTCACCCTCAGGCCATCCAAGATGTAGATGAGTTTGTTTCTTCATCAGATTTGGAGAAATTTAGTATTCCATCACTATATGGATCCTCTGCAGTGAATGGGTGCCGTCAGAACAGCTGATAAAAACATCACAATAATCCACAAGTAATCACTCCAGTTCATCAGTTAACCTGAAGCGAAAAGCTGCATGTTCGTTTTACAAGCCAAAACAGTTCTAAACAAAGATTGATGATGGTGATGGACTTTTTCCCTGGAGGAAGTGTCATTATGGATATGGATTATGGACAGTTGTTTGGACTCTCATTCTGACGGCACCCATTCACTGCAGAGAATCCATTGCTGAGACACTGATGTAATGCTACATTTCTCCAAATCTGATGCAGAAACAAACTCATCTACATCTTGGATTTTAAATTGTGTTTTTATATTACACGTTTTTAAAAGGAAAGCTTGGTCTCTTCTGGGCTTGCAGTTTGTATAAAGGTTGATACTTTTTTGTCCTTTAATGAAGATAAAACCTCATTTACATGCAGCTCCCTGTGTTCTCGTTATCTCACAGCAGTCATGATTTGCTCTTTTAACTCATTTCATAGCTGCTACATTAAAGGGTGTATCTGAACTCATATGAAATCCAGTGATAGCACACTTGACTATAACAGTCTGAGCCGAATGGAAGCACCACATGATGGTTTTTCCTGTGCCATTTTCTTCCATTTGACAGAGATGATTGAACTAGATGGAGATGAGGTCAGGATATCATCCAGGGGTCGCTTTGCGGAGAGAGACATCGTGCAGGTGAGCTTTCCAGCCCTGTATATCGTATATCTGTGGACAGAAATAGTAAAGCAATATTCTAGGCGATTTTCAACCTAATGTCTACAGCGTCTGTAGCATTGATGATCACAGACTCATCTCTCAGTGTGTGTGTGGTAATAAAAAGCAAACGGGAAAAATGTTTACAGTAAATACATGGAGCCCGAGCAGGCAAGTGTGCAGAACTGAAAATAAATGTTTAGCTTATGATCATCATATTTTTGAAGGTATAACCATCAACCTTATAGCTATAGTTCACATAAAAATGAACATATGCTGAAAATGTACTCACCCTCAGGCCATCCAAGATGTAGATGAGTTTGTTTCTTCATCAGATTTGGAGAAATTTAGTATTCCATCACTATATGGATCCTCTGCAGTGAATGGGTGCCGTCAGAACAGCTGATAAAAACATCACAATAATCCACAAGTAATCACTCCAGTTCATCAGTTAACCTGAAGCGAAAAGCTGCATGTTCGTTTTACAAGCCAAAACAGTTCTAAACAAAGATTGATGATGGTGATGGACTTTTTCCCTGGAGGAAGTGTCATTATGGATATGGATTATGGACAGTTGTTTGGACTCTCATTCTGACGGCACCCATTCACTGCAGAGAATCCATTGCTGAGACACTGATGTAATGCTACATTTCTCCAAATCTGATGCAGAAACAAACTCATCTACATCTTGGATGGCCTGAGAGTGAGTACATTTTCAACAAATTTTCATTTTTGGGTGAACTATTTCTTTAATCATTACATGTGTTAAGAATTCATAACATCTGGATGAACGATTGAAAACAAATATTTTTCTTCATTTTTCGACACTTAATTGCATGTTATGTACACCAAAAATTTTCTAAAACTTGAATGCCATGTATTTAAGTATATTTACAATTAAACGTTTGTAATGATGATGTTGCAATTTAGCACATTTAAAATATGAACTTTAAATGCTATATCACATAACACCGGTCACAAAACTGCACGGTAGTGATGTTCGATTCTTGAACAAATCACACAATCGAACTGAATCGAACTTTAGTTCCGGGTTGATAACGCAGGACGCTCAGCTGAAGTAGCGTGTCCGACTCAAAAAGAACCGAATGAGCCGGTTCAACCAACTGTCGAAGTTTGCCGAGTCTGAAAGTTAAGGCACCTACACACACTGAATTCAGTGAATTGGACAGCAGTTACATACAACAGTTTCTCTACATTTGGTCATATGACAGGGTGTTACTCTTGCAAACTCTTGCATTTCTCCTCTATGTTCTAGTGACATACCTTCCCAATTGAAATCAGTGGATTTTTTGGTCTTCTCAAATGTAGATAAACTGTATCGAGTAACAGCTCTTAGGTTATGTCTGCATAGTACTTCATACTGTTTCATTTGAGAAGACCAAGAAAAATCCAGTCTTCCTTTAAATTGTGTTTTTATATTACACGTTTTTAAAAGGAAAGCTTGGTCTCTTCTGGGCTTGCAGTTTGTATAAAGGTTGATACTTTTTTGTCCTTTAATGAAGATAAAACCTCATTTACATGCAGCTCCCTGTGTTCTCGTTATCTCACAGCAGTCATGATTTGCTCTTTTAACTCATTTCATAGCTGCTACATTAAAGGGTGTATCTGAACTCATATGAAATCCAGTGATAGCACACTTGACTATAACAGTCTGAGCCGAATGGAAGCACCACATGATGGTTTTTCCTGTGCCATTTTCTTCCATTTGACAGAGATGATTGAACTAGATGGAGATGAGGTCAGGATATCATCCAGGGGTCGCTTTGCGGAGAGAGACATCGTGCAGGTGAGCTTTCCAGCCCTGTATATCGTATATCTGTGGACAGAAATAGTAAAGCAATATTCTAGGCGATTTTCAACCTAATGTCTACAGCGTCTGTAGCATTGATGATCACAGACTCATCTCTCAGTGTGTGTGTGGTAATAAAAAGCAAACGGGAAAAATGTTTACAGTAAATACATGGAGCCCGAGCAGGCAAGTGTGCAGAACTGAAAATAAATGTTTAGCTTATGATCATCATATTTTTGAAGGTATAACCATCAACCTTATAGCTATAGTTCACATAAAAATGAACATATGCTGAAAATGTACTCACCCTCAGGCCATCCAAGATGTAGATGAGTTTGTTTCTTCATCAGATTTGGAGAAATTTAGTATTCCATCACTATATGGATCCTCTGCAGTGAATGGGTGCCGTCAGAACAGCTGATAAAAACATCACAATAATCCACAAGTAATCACTCCAGTTCATCAGTTAACCTGAAGCGAAAAGCTGCATGTTCGTTTTACAAGCCAAAACAGTTCTAAACAAAGATTGATGATGGTGATGGACTTTTTCCCTGGAGGAAGTGTCATTATGGATATGGATTATGGACAGTTGTTTGGACTCTCATTCTGACGGCACCCATTCACTGCAGAGAATCCATTGCTGAGACACTGATGTAATGCTACATTTCTCCAAATCTGATGCAGAAACAAACTCATCTACATCTTGGATGGCCTGAGAGTGAGTACATTTTCAACAAATTTTCATTTTTGGGTGAACTATTTCTTTAATCATTACATGTGTTAAGAATTCATAACATCTGGATGAACGATTGAAAACAAATATTTTTCTTCATTTTTCGACACTTAATTGCATGTTATGTACACCAAAAATTTTCTAAAACTTGAATGCCATGTATTTAAGTATATTTACAATTAAACGTTTGTAATGATGATGTTGCAATTTAGCACATTTAAAATATGAACTTTAAATGCTATATCACATAACACCGGTCACAAAACTGCACGGTAGTGATGTTCGATTCTTGAACAAATCACACAATCGAACTGAATCGAACTTTAGTTCCGGGTTGATAACGCAGGACGCTCAGCTGAAGTAGCGTGTCCGACTCAAAAAGAACCGAATGAGCCGGTTCAACCAACTGTCGAAGTTTGCCGAGGATTACCGAGGATTCTGATGTGAGTGAGTTGACGATACTGTGCAAGCCTGAGGCATGTACTGGAAATATGACTACTGTTATTAAATAACATTTTATTAAAACCTGCAAAAACCTTTCTGTCGAGAGATGTAAATAAATTTTACTATAGTGTATTGTGCATGCAGATTATATTTGAAGTTGTTTAAGCGAAATCAAGGAGTTTATAAGACTGGTTTATTTTTTTAATATACTTTAGACATGTAGAACATATCCGCGTTTGTGCATCAGTGTCTGTAATGTGTGTTGTATGTGCGAAATTTTATCCAAGGCTAGTCAATGCTGGTCAGTCGTATCTGACAGAAAGGATCCGCGAATGAAACTGTGACCACAAGCACCATTAACTTAAAGCTGCAGTCCGTAAGTTTTGCCTCTTTGTCGCCATCTCTGTTTGAAAACCTGGAATATGGCCAAATAAGAATTTTCACCGTATATTGCCATCTGAACAAGTAAGTAACAAGTCTGCCACGTTTGTTCTGACCAAAAAGCATTACCATAAATCTCGCTACCAATGGTGATTAAATCTAAAGATCGGTTAGCTCATATCACATCAAACCGTTCAAATGATTATTATTGTTATACTTTATTCTCAAATCATTAATGTTAACAACATCAGCATTGGTGACTATGAGTAGTGTGTATTAGCGTGTAGATTTCAATTTCTGCACAGTCTAATCTAATTGTCATACACTT